AGAAAATATATGATGAAATAAGAGAACGTATTTTAAGCTTTTATTGCTTGTGGTAAAAAAAGCAAGGGTTTATATCACTTATATAATGTTATAACTATAAGGTAACCACTATGATAATAAGAAAACATTATTAAATATTAGCTTAAAAGAAAAATTATAAGCATAAGAAACACAAGATAGAGGTAAGACAATATATATACATTTATAATTGCATTTTATACTATCAAAGAATTAATGCCACCTATATAAGCTACATAATGCATACAAGAGACACACCTGAAACAAAATGCTTCAGAAAAAAATTTAAATGAAAGGATGGGCAAAGGCATATCAAGCAAATAGAAACACCCAAAGGCAAAAAAGAAGAAGAAGAGGAAGAGACAGTGAAGAAGAGAGAATAAAAGCAGAGCTCACCATTTCAATACCATACAAGCTAGAGTTATGTCCACAAAGCATTATAAGACACAATTATTCATAGCAATGCACACAGTAACGAAGCACAAATATTCAAAAGCCAAATTCCACAGGAAAAAGAGAGAAGGACAACCAAGGGACTATAATTTACCTATCCCAGTCTAAGACAGACCAAGAGGACATAAATTAAGGATAGAAAAATCCTACATAACAAAATTAATGCAGATCAAATTCTCTGCCCTACAATAGGGAATTAGAAATTATTTTCGAGTGTCTACTAATCATTCACAAAAGTAGGCTATATATTACTTGATACCAAAACAGAAATAACAAGGATCATATTTTGACTGTAATTCAGAAATTAAGATTTAGCAACAGAATTTGGCAATGTAGCATATGATGCAATTTTTGTATTTCATCCATCTGGTATGTAAAAACATGCTATTACAGAGTAGATTTAATTTGTATATTTCTTATTACACGTAAAATGAGTAAACATAGTTTTTCATATTTTTAAAATTCTTGATAATTTCCACCTGGAAATTAAAAGAAGCTTTATTTAAACAGTTCTTGGGTCAAAGAGAAAATAAAAACCTGTACTGCACGCATCTAGAAAACAATAAATTGTTAGCTACATATGAGATCTGTGGGACATAAGGTAGGAGTTGAAGAAAAATCATTACCTTAGGTACCTACGTATTATATTTAACTACAAATATTTAAGAAAAAAACTAAAAATAATGAATTAAAATTTAGTCTCAAATTATAAAAGAATATATTGAAGATACATAAAAGGAAGTAATAAAAATAAAAGCAGAAATAAGTTAGATGAGAAAAAAGAGAGAATTTATAAAGTCCAAGTATGGTTCTTTGAGAAAATAGAAGTCAAATAAGAAAAGAATGAAATAACTTGCACTTCAAGAATTTTTAAAATGAGGAAAAAGACACCATGTTAAAAGAGGAGCAACCACACGAAGAGAGGAAATGAAGAAGGATGAGTAGGGACATAGGGAGAAGAGAAAATTATTTCATTTTTTGACTTTAATTCCTCTCTTCTAGGATCTTAATAATTGGAAAGGGTTCGTATTAAAGTTGAAGCATTATGTATTATGTACCACCACCACCAATTGCACTGAGTACCAAGTTTTAAAGAGGTGCTCTGATTCTCGTCCTTTGCAGTCTCCACTAGAGCAGGGTGACAGCAGAGCAGATTTAAGTCATTCATAGTTTTCTTGCCTTTTTTTCTTCCAAACAGGATCTCACTCTGTTGCCCAGGCTGCAGTACAGTGGCACAATCTGGGCTCACTGCAGCCTCAATCTCCTGGGCTCAAGCAATTCTCTCCTCTCAGTCTCCCAGTTAGCTGGGACTACAGAACACACCACAATGCCCAGCTAATTTTATTTTCTGTAGAGATGGGGTCTTGCTATGCTGTCCAGGCTGGTTGTCTCATCTTAATATGGTCATAACAATCTCTGCTCTCAAAGCTTCCTTAAGGCAGGACTACATCCCCTACTACATATGTCATGCGATTACAGTGCATGACACGTAGTAAGCACTCCATAAATAGTTCCCAAATGAATATGTAGCACAAATCCTTCAGCCTAACTCTTGGCAAGATTTTGCGATTTCTAGTTTGTAAAACATGCATCACAAGGACAAAGGATGGAGGGACTCACCCTGAAACAAAACATAAATAAACCAGTAAGTGTAGTTTTAGAACAGGATATTAAGTGTGAATTATTTTCTCTATTTTCTTCACTCTTGATTATCACTTGTTTATAGAACTAAAAATAAAAAACATACACACAAAGGTCAGGGATGCCTCAGTAACCTCAAAAACAGGATTCTCTCCTTATCAGAAGAGCAAGAATCAAACTAAGAATCTAGAATATTCTCTGCATGTTTCCCCTTTTCTGGAACCCAAATCAAAGAACTATCTATAAATTATACCATTACAAAATTAAACTCTTACTTCTTTAAGCCTTTCTAAAGGGATACTCTGATCTTCATAAACATTAATTGTCACCATTGCTTTTTCTACAAGTGGACCTTTTTGGTTCCCATTTTACTAACCCTTGCTCATGGTATTTGATCTGTTAGTTGCCTGTCAGCACTATCAGTGAGTGCAATGAATCACCCTGAGAAATCAGCTGGTTTTGGTTTTTTTGGTTTTTGTTTTGTTTTGTTTTGTTTTGTTTTGTTTTTTTGCTCAGGATGTAGGACTTTGAGGCAAGTGCAAGGAGGTGGCAAATTTTCGGCCACCACCTTTCAGCCTGGCCTCTGCCCTGCCCTCCTCCTGCCCCTCTCCACTGGTCCCCGTCACCACTACTGCCCAGGAGCAGTCCTCACCAACCCTGGGGAGACACAACATATTTGGGGGCAACTGCTGAATAGAAGGACCAGTGCATTCGGCCTCTGCTTTCTCTCTCTCCCTTTATCCTCCCTTCCCTTTTCATGAAACCAGAGGCGCAGACTCATATTGCCCCTGTCACTTGCCAGCTGTCTGTCTTCTGCTGCCTTCTGCAACACAGTCAGTTGGAGTCTGACGTGATTTGTGAATTGGAGGAGATTAGAGGTCCAGGAAGGTGAAGTAAGGGGCATTTAAGACTCTAGTGTTCCTGACTCAGCCATTGCCAGAGCCGTGCATGAAAGTAAGTGCACCTCCCTAACTACAAACAAAGGGGAATGTTGGCTGTCATTCATTTTATTGTTCCTAGTTTTTGTAACTCCCTTGGGAAAGCCAGGGAGAAGGGAAGATGCTCGCGTGCATCCTCACCTCTCTGAATCTAACACCATCCAAGACCATCAGACCTGTATCGACCTTCTGCATCAGTAGGTGGAAGAACTTTCTCACAGTTGAAGCTGCTCAAGAATGGAGTGGGCTGCCACTCAGAGCACCCACCCACTCACAGTGCCTGGTGTTGCCCCCAACAAGTCTCAGGGTCTCCTCAAGCAGGATGCTTCACTGCCCACTACAAGCCAATGCGCTGGGCAGGCAGCAGTTAAACCGTGTACGAAGTGAGGAGACTGACACCCAAAGCTGATGCAAAACTGGCCCAAGGTCCTGCGAACTAGCAAGGGGCAAAACTGGCCCAAATGCAGTTTTTTCATTCCAGTTCTGTCATCATTCCAAGTCTGAGACTCTGGAGGGATCCAGAAAGCTTGAAAGAGATCAGATAAACTTAGAAGGTGAGATGCACTGTCAAGATCCAATATGTCTGAAAAAGGAGACTTTGAGACCTTAATTCAGAGTCCCAGATCATAAAAATTCTACCAAGAAATTCTGCTATATTTTACTAGGTAGAGGAAGGCATGAAACCAATTGTTATCAACCCAGTGCTGCCACTTTTAAAGCATCTGTATCTCTCTTTTCACCCCTTATTAGTTATGAATGTACACTAGCTATTGCATTAAGCAGTGAATTTCTTGACCTCAAGAACTGCATAGTGCTCATCTCTGCATCCATCCCAGCATGGAATAATGTGTGTCATACAGTTAATGTGAAAACAAAATGTTTTTACATAGATGAATACAGGAATAACTATATGAGTGAATGAGGAAGCCCCTTGAAATAATTTATCAGAGGCAGAGCACACAGTGGATCTAAATGAGCTTGTTTTGGAATTTGGCTAGGACTATTCTTCATTGCACACTACAGTGCCATTTATGACAAAACAATTGTCACCTCTGGCCCTCAGGCACTAAACATACACTGGACCCCATTGTTACCATCAAAACACCCCACACACTTACAAACTCCCACCAACCCAGGTTAAGAAGTACTGCTCAAATCTGAGCTCTGGCTAGGATATAAGAAAACATGCCAGACTTTTTTTTTTTTTTTTTTTTTTGAGACAGAGCTTTCTCTTGTCACCCAGGCTAGAGTGCAATGGTACAATCTCAGCTCACTGCAACCTTCGCCTCCCAAGTTCAAGCAATTCTCCTGCCTCAGCCTCCCGAGTAGCTGGGATGACAGACGCGTACCACCATGCCCAGCTAATTTTTGTATTTCTAGTAGAAACCAGGTTTCACCATGTTGGCCAGGCTGGTCTCGAATTCCTGATCTCGTGATCTGCCCACCTCGGCCTTCCAAAGTGCTGGAATTACAGGCATGAGCCACCATGCCTGGCCGAAAACATACCAGACTTTCAGATACAATGGAATGAAATGGCAGCCAAGTGACCAAGGCTCCTGCTTAAAGTGCTTAAAAGTAGCAAGTGGCAATTAATACTTTATTTGGGGAGTGAGGGGTATTAAGATGCTGTGAGACCTTGGGGGAAATAACTTACCCTATCAGAGTCTCAATTTCTTCTGTTGTACTTTTAAGGTTCTTAGAGGATAAATGAGATGATTTTTTTAATGTGATACAAAATTTTAAGAGATTACTTTGCTGCTGTTGAAGGAAAGAATATAGACAAATTGGAGAAACGATTTGCTGAGGTTTTAATGAGAAACCATCCTCCTCCGCCCAGCAAGGAGATAAGTTTATAAGAGCTGTGTGGGGCTTGAGAAAGTGAAGAATTACAAAATTTAATGAGGATTTTTCTTCTCCTTCCCACTACAGTTGGTATCATCAACAAATTACCTGCGTTGGTGGGACAGCACAGAGCCTGCGGGCAACAGAGGAGGCTCCAGCAGTTCTGAGCACTGGGGGTTATCAGGAATGGGAATTTCTGCTGAGAACAACGACCGTTGACTAAATGGAAGAGAGAGGTGTTTAATAAAGTTACCTGAAGTAGAGCCCAAGGAAGAGAAACAATCAAAATAAATAAAATGAGAGATCCTCTGACTGGTCTGTTGTGGATCAAGCTGATTTTTTTTTAAGCAGGAATTCAACATTTCAAGCATGAGTGGCTGTCAACCCTTCACTCTACACTTCGCCCAAGACGCGTCAAAGTCCAGATGCAACGCCTCGTGGGAGCCATCACTCAGCCTGACCCAGCACGCTCCATTTCTCCTTCTCTTGAACCCACCCCAGGGTGGTGTGAATTGAAGCAGCCAAAAAGCAATAGAGGAAATAACAGGTGCCCTTTCAAATAAATATTCTTTGTGCATATAAAACAATTCCAGAATATTGTTGTGGTTTTCATTTTCTGAAAACTTTTTTAGTAAGTTGGCTTATTCTTTGAAGCAATACTTTAACAATTGAATTCCTTTATATTCTTGAGGTACACACTATAGTTCCAATCATAAAATTACTGTATGATAACTGCCTATGAATCATGGAGTTGATAGGAACATGAAATTTCAAAAACTGTTGCTGCCTATCTAACTCTACAGTCTCCAGCAACATTTTCCAATGCATGCCTTTAAGGACATTAGTTCCATGAGCTGCTGGTAGATACTACATGAAAAAGAAAAGGAGGAGAGAGAGAGATCTGTGTGCAAGAAGAGTGGAAAATTTTTAGTTAAATAGAGTTAAACAGGTTTTGTTACCACAGATGAATTGCCATGTTCCCACCTATAGTAGGTCTCTCCACTTGTTGAGGGGAAGTAGGTCTCTTCCCCTTGACTAATTCAGGACACAGCTGTCCCCCGGGCTTATACACTACCACTTTTCCCATCTTACTGTACTATTCCCCAGATAGCATCTTATATATATATAAAAAAAAAAAAAAAAAAACCTTTTTCCCAAAGAAGAAGTCACTGCCCATTTCTTCCCATTGAGAGCTGTCTGAATTCACTCTCCAATTCTACCCCTCCAAGTCTCCCTTCTATCCACTCTAATTTGGCGGTCATTCTCACCACATCATGGAAGCTGCTCTCTATGAAGTCCTGGATGATGTAAATCCAGTGGTCCATTACCTGTCTTTACCTTATTTCACCCATGACCCACATATGACACACTTGATCACTCCCCTTCCTGGAGTCTTTTGCTCAACTTGGCCTCAAGGACTCCACACTCTGTAGGTTTTTCTCCTGCCTCAATGATACTTTCTCAATCTCCTCTTCTCCTTGACCTCTTCATGGGAGGGCCCCACACTTGGTCTTGGCCCTCTCTATTTTTCTATCTATACTCCTTCCCATGGTAATATCTTAGAGTTCTAAATGCCATCAAAATGGGGGAGACTCCTAAATTAATAGATCCAGGTACATTGTCCCAGCCTCCTGAATAAATCTGCCTACTTAACATTTCCTTTGGATTCCTAAATGGCAACTAGATATAGCCAAAGCTGAGTTTCTATCCTTATCCTCCAAACCTCTACCCACGGTTTTTCTATCATAGTTAGAGATAATTCCAGCAATCCAGTTACTTGGACCGAAATAGGGGAATCTTCCTCGATGTCTCTCTATCACGCATTCACAAAATCTTTTGGCAATTCTGTTGCCTCTACTTCTTGAATGCAACCAAGAATCTGACCACTTTTTACCAGTTTCTCTGCTACCACACTGGACCAAACCACCATCATCTCTCACCTGGGTTATTACAACAGCCTTCTAAATGATTTCTCTGTCCCACACATACCCCTACAAGCTCTTTTCCACACAACGGCTTGAGCAAGACTTTTACAGTGTAAGTCAGATGATGATATCACTCCTGCTCAAAACTCTCCTTCAGTCTTTTAATACCACTCCAATCACCTGCAACCACACAATCTATGATCAGCACTTGGACTTCATCTCCCACCCTCTCGCCCTTGTGCACTCTGCTCTAATGACTTTTCACACATACCCTAGGCCACTCCTACCACAGGGCCTTTTCATGGGGGGTTCCTCTGCCCTAGAACACACTTCCCCTTGTGCTTCTGCATCCCATCAAGTCTTTGTTAAAATGGTACCTTCCTGATAGGGTCTACCCCATCCACATTAACAATTCCATCTTCCCCTCCTAGTGTCCCTGACCCTGCTCATCCTATTTCCCAACTCCACGGCACTTCCTGCTTCCTATCATTCAATGCAATTGTCTTCTTAATTGTATTTGTGGCATCCCTGCTTCCCTGGACTGTAAGTCTCACCAGAGCGGGGATGTTTTACCTATTATCTTTACTGATTCGCCTATTTTCCTTACTGGTTTACTTATTTTCTTTACTGATTCAGTCTAGAGACTGACAAATAGTACATAAATGTCACTGAATAAATTCATCAATTAATGAATATGTAGCTCATTTAGTAAGCTGGAGGAAACTACTAAAAAATGTTTAACAAATGTTGTCTACAGGACAAACCGTGCTTTAGGATTTTTACTCAAGTGGCTGAGTCCTTTCAAGATCTCAGACTGTGTTTCAATCACTGCAGGTACTCTAAGCCCTCAAGAAAGGGAGACTTTGAAACTAGCGATGAAAGAAGGATGTAGCACAATGAGAAATCTCAAAGATTTAAATATTTCAGAGAAGTAAAATACTTCTTCATCTTTCTCAGAGAAGTAAAACAATACTTCTGAGGAGTTATGTTGCAGTGTCCCAGTAGTAAAATAAGAGGTAATTCCATGACACCAGAATCATACCTGGGCATTCCACTCATTCCAGTGTTTTAGGCTGGAATGTTTCTCATACATCAGAATTTATCTTGAAGGGATGAAAAAGATACGTCTCCATCCATGAGCCTCAATGCCTCCTTTCTAGCTCTCTCGCAATGTCCGTTAGCCATACACTATGATCAGTAGGAATTGATCTGTGGGTTTTTTTGTTGTTTTTTTCTTTTTTTTGAGACGGAGTCTTGCTCTGTCACCCAGGCTGGAGTGCAGTTGCACGATCTCGGCTCACTGCAAGCTCCACCTCCCAGGTTCACACCATTCTCCTGCCTCAGCCTCCCGAGTAGCTGGGATGACAGGCGCCCGCCAGCACGCCTGTCTAACTTTTTTGTATTTTTAGTAGAGACGGGGTTTCACCATGTTAGCCAGGATGGTCTCGATCTCCTGACCTCGTGATCCACCCGTCTCGGCCTCCCAAAGTGCTGGGATTACAGGCATGAGCCACCGAGCCCGGCCAATCAGTAGGAATTGAAAACTGATTATTCAGGCCATTTCTAGCTTTCAATCAATACATTTGTAGGAGTGTATGCTGTTCTTCCCATCGTGCCTTCTTGGGAAATATCCTGTGTCAGAGTGGACAAAGTAAACCCCCAGCCTCCTCCTGTGAACAGGAGCAGAGGGAATTGTCATCTTCCCATCCACGTAAGCACAACCCCCCTCTTTCATGGGTGGAGATCATAGCATACTTTGGAGCTAGGAGACTGTCAGAATGCGGTAGATTTGAGGTTTACCTTTAGAAAATGAGCATAATAAAACATTGGCTTCTCTCAGTATCTAATACAGATCATTAATTCTCAGACCTCTCAGGTGTTTGAGCTGAGGATGAAGTGTTTGTGCGTGACAACTAGCCAACAACAGCAGTTTCCTCGGGTTCTGCTCCTGCTGCTATCACCTCCAAGAAAAATGCTTTAGGAGCAGAAAATCACTGGTTGAAAATGTTCAAAGCCAAAAATATCATCACTTTGAAAAGAAAGAAAAGCTGTCATTTTACAAAGAAAGAAGTTAAGAGGCTTACTAACAGTCCGACTAACAAGGCAGCCCCTGAGTGAAAATGTCACCTTAGTCTCTTTTTTGCTGACCTTTGGTTCGCTGCACCACACTAGGCTATCCAAGATAAATCCAGTCAGGTGATCTTCAGCCTTTATCCTCCCACTGTGGGAAAGTTCTTCCTGTACCACCAGCATTTTCATAAAAAAAATGTGTGGATGTGCTCTTATGTATGCGGCATATCACTAGATGGGAAGGAGGGGTTAAGACATCAAGTCACCTGTCCTTACATGTGTGTCGCCCAGTCACGTAGAGAGGCAGTCCTGATTTCTGCTTGGTGGTCCATGGCTCTGCCCCAGTCAGGGGTGGGAGGTGCCATGAGTTGTTACTGGCAGTGTCTCGATGAAGGATGAGTACTTGTCCCTGTTCTCGTAACTAATAGAACACGCAAACCTGTCCCTTTAGTATTGTAAGAAGGTGGTGACTTCTTGAGGCCCTGCAACAGAGCCAGCATGCAGGGACTGCAAATGAACGACCTGTGTTATCCAGAGCCAGGCCAGCTGTGGGAGCAGGATGCTTATGAGAACAGTATGTACCATGAGGAAAGTAAGAAATCCAGGTTGAGCCCCACAGCCCACAGCAATACGGCTCACCCCCCTTTGGTGAGCTTTGAAGTCCTTTCATTGTCTGACTCTGCCAAGGTGTCCAAGCTCACCCTCAGGTTCACTGAGCCCCAGTCCGACCACAGCCTCCTGTCCTCTCTGCAAACATCCCCTGCCTGGCCTCCCTGATGGATGCTTTAATGCCTCCATCATGTCCCCTCCAAGTCCTCTTGTGCAGCTGCTCCAGCCCTTCACTGAGCTTCCCCTCTATTCCTGTAGATGTCACCAGCCAGATTGTACAATTGAACTCCTAAATGTTCTCGTATTACTTCATGGGTACCTAAGCCACGATCAAGGCCTGTATGGAATCCCTCGCCACCCTGCCCAGTATACAGCCTATGTCTAAGGATTTGCACTGCAGAGAAAATAACCTCCCTCAGTTTTCCCAAGATTAGATAAGTGGAGTCTTTTGTTGGACATGCACAGCCCTTGTGAATGTTATTCATCAAATATATTTTAAGTGTATTTAAAACTGTAGATGATGCCTGATGTCAAATTTAAAACTTCACTTGATTGTATTAACTCAACCATTATATTTCTTCTACCTGAAGATTACAAGCATATTAAAAAAAAAAATGAACCTTACAAAATTAAAAACTAGGTGGTGAACTTCTTTAACAGTGGTTTTTGAAATAACCATAGAAAAACTCAGAGTTTTCTCTCCTCGGCTTGCCAAATGCAAGGCCCTTCTCACTGTCGGTGGTTCCAGCCCCAGGCTACTCACAGATCGCTGGTATGGCAGGGGTAAGGGGCCGCCTGAGTCTGTGCTGCTGGTTCCAGGACTTCCTGCCCAGTCTGCACCAAAATGATGGCTCTTTCGATCATGTCTTGCAGTGGGACAAAGATGTAGTTATATTTGAATCCGTCAGCTGGTAGATTCTGAGGGTGGAACTTCCAGGAAGGGTTTTTTACCACATCTGTTCGCATGCTGTATAACACATTGGTCCGGATTGTATAGGAGACATGGGGTGGCAGTTTGACAGACTCTGATCTGAAGCTCTTGCCGAGTAAGGAATTGTTGAAAATGATACCTAGTGGCAGAAAAGGAAAAGTGAAGCATTACCGCACTGCAGGGAGTGGCTCTAACCACGTCTACACTGGGCAAGACAAGAAAGTTGCAGGAGCCTGACACTCACAGCCCTCCACTCCTGCAGACTCAGAGCCCGAGCCCCCAGGGGCAAAGCTGACTTTCAGTCACACAGGCAATTGGTGGTAAGCCTAAACCAAGATCTCTTAATTCCCTGTCCAGTGCTGCTTTGTATTTTTCATAAAAGCAAACTGTGGTATAATCAACACAAAGAAATTATTTGTTAGATGATTTTTGCAGGGATTTCTTCTCTTGATTGCAGATGTTAACTCAATGTGCAGAATCCATCTCTTTGGGGTTACTTATCATTCATAACTTAAATACATGGATTCTATTTTATGCCACATGGATTCTTTGAATTGCATTCATAAAGCCTATTACAGCTAAATCATGTCCGCTATTAAATTCATATGTAGAAGTTCTAACCCCCAGTACCTCAGAATGTGACTATATTTGGAGATAACATTTAAAGAGTAATCAAGTTAAAATGAGGGCCGTTAGGGTGCGCCCTAACTCAATATGCAGGTGTCTTTATAAAAAGAGGGAAACTTAAACACAGAGAAATACATAGAGGGAAGATGAGGTGCAGAAACCCAGGGAGAAGATGGCCACCTACAAGCCAATGACAGGGGCCTAGAGAAGATCCTCTCCTCATAGCCCGCAGGAAAAACCAGTGGATGTCTCCATCTGGAATATTTAGCTTCCAGAACTCTGAGACAATAAACTTCTCTTGTTTTAGTCTGCGATACTTTGTTACAGCAACCTTAACAAACTAATAGAAAACTTCTATTAAAAATAATTCAATGTATATTCCAAAAGAATATGAGAGCATCACCATATTTATCTTGAATGGGTGAACAATTAAATAATGGAGTAGAGTTGACCATTGCCTGCTCTCCGCCCCAACCAGGATATCAAGATACTCTGATCAAAGTAAAGGTGATGCAGGAAATTAGAGTATAATTTTAATCAGGAATAATAAGATTTATGAAGTGAGATTTAACCAGAACATGATGTCATAAAATGGTAAGAGCAGAAGCAGTAAATAGCAATGGTCCTAGGATGGTGAAAACGTTATTAGTCACTATGGCATAAGGTAGAACTTTTTATTAACCAAGGCAAATATTTCTGTTTTATTTTATGTTTTATCTAAGGCAACTAATTCTGCTTTATTTTATGTTTTATCTGGAAAGGACTTCTTTTCTTTCTGAGCTATCGTAAGACACCTTTAGGGAGAAACTCCCAAAATGACAACTTACAGGAGCTGGCACTTTGTTGAGTACTTACTGGCCAAGAAGCTGTTCTGCTGCAAGAGTTCATGTGCTTTAGTCTCCAGGATGTCGACAGAATGCACAGCCTGGAAACGGTTCAGCGCCACGCAGGAAGAGAGATTGACCAAGATGCTGCCCAAGAAACGGAAGTGTCCAGCGCCTGCGTGGTTAAACATCTCATCCAGCAGCCCTCCTGAGGAAAGTGAACAGATTAGGACAGATCGACTTCTGTTTCTTCCCAGTGCTTACCGCTCATATAGTGGAGATTGTGCAAATGAATTTGAAAATCAATATGAATTCTTCCACTAAAAATTGCTCAAAAGAGTCAAATTTTGGTCAAATGCGAAATTTGCCATTTACTTGCTGAGTGTAAAGTCTCCCCTTTTATACGCATGTTCTGTAACACTGATACTTACATGTACATGAGGGAAAAAACAGTTAAAGCACAAAGGGTAATACAGCAGCCTAAGGAAACACGGTTGGAAACAATAGGAGAAACATCAGAGGGAAAGTCTACATGTGATAGGAAAGACCTTCTCACGGAGAACTCAGGGAAAAAAAGTTTCAGCCTGGAGTCAAGTAATTCTAAAAAAAAACATGCTTTCCCTGAAGCAGTCATTTTGGGAGTCATTTTATTACATTAATTTTGCAAAAGCAATTATGAAGGAGCATTGGCACTGAGGAAACCAAATCCTTGTATAGTCTCTGTCCTGGATCTGTGCATTGGAAATGGAAATAGAGCAGCAGAGTAAAGTAGCAACACCTTGGCTATGAATGCTGACATCAAACATTTTCAGGGCAAAGGACTGAGGCTATCTCAGTATTTTCACTCTGGTTTCAGGAAGGAGCTGGAAAAACCAAATGATCTAGAACAAGGCCGCGTGGGAATGCTCAGAACATGACCTCAAGAAGAAAAGCAGCAGGAAAGATGGCAGAGTCTGTGGGTAGTGGAGCTGTGTGGGGAACCAAGCTGATCAAGTTTGTTCTGCAGGAGGCCCTGCCAGCAGAAGATGCCCAGGGCCACCCCATCATATCAGGTGAGGCGAATGTGCCTTCACCCTCGGTGGTACAAGAGGAAGTGATCCTGCTCATCTAGTTGGTGTGACGTTCACAGCAAAGGAGTCTCCACCCACCCTAGGACCCACTCCTTAACGAAATCAAGGGCTTTTTTTTTTTTTTTTTTTTTTTCCACTCAGGACTTTATCAAGAAAATTTAAAAATTAATTGAGAAAAACTGAACACACCTGAAAGCATATCAGTGTGTTTTTAGAAACCCACAATGTGCACAAAAACACACAGCAAATTATAAAACTCTGTAGACAAAATCATTGTGGGGCAGTTGTCGGTTGCCAATGATCACTTTCTCAGCTATGGGAGCTGCTTAATCCAGTCTCAAGCAGTGGGGAGACCTCAGCTTCTGACACATAATCCTCTCAAAAAGCTCTCCTAAAGGAGCTCGGTTACAACTAGCCTCCACCCAACCCCAAATCTATCAGATTGACCAGAACCATCCACTGTCTGGGAAATACCAAGTCAGAAAGAAATGCAAGCATGTTTAGAATCTTCCAAGATCAGGCTTACAAATTCATATGACACTTAACATTTCTTGGACCTTTTACTTGTACCAAAGAATATGATGTACTTTGGGACAAGTGTTGAATGACTAACATTCCAGTTCTATGTTATTCTGCTATTGAATATACAAATACATTCTCTATCCAACAATGTTTGTTGCTGGTGATTCCTGGGAATGTTACAGAGAAGGGATCCCAATCCATACTCCAAGAGAGGGTTCCTGGATCTCGTGCAAGAAAGAATTCAGGGTGAGTCTGCAGTGCAAAGCAAAAGCAAGTTTATTAAGAAAGTAAAGTGGTGAAAGAACAGCCACTCCATAGACAGAGTAGGATAGACGTTCCCAAAAGTAAGAGGAGGAACACATCCACCCCAGGTACAATGTTTGCAGATATAGGGAAATATGTCCTACTATAAGGATTTGTGATAAAGGATTAATTTTCTCAATTACCATATTTTGCAAGAATTGATATTATTCAGAATGCTTTTGTTCTCCAGATATCAGGATATCTGGACGCACCCAAGTCTAGGGCTGTTTCGTAAACATTATTAATTTGTTCCCTAACTGTAAACATCTGGAGGCTAGGAATGCCTAACTTTCTGAGAATGCAGCCCAGCAAGTCTCAGCCTCATTTTCCTAGCCCTCACTCGAAATGGAGTCGCTCTGGTTCCAACACCTCTGACAGGCACACTGTAATATTCCACACCAGACTTCCAAGTGTCCAGCTAGGAAATATTTTGTGGAACCGAAGTTCTCTAGGTGTGCCTCCAGTGTCAGCCCTTGACTTTGTTCTTCTCCTCTGTGGTCTGGGGGCAGCCTCTGCCTGCAGGTTCCATCACTTGCCCTCCATTGTATGATGACAGACAACAATCTATACCTGGCTCTGTGTGCAGGCACTGCTTCCTGCTGGCCCTCCTGTATCTCACTGATCTCCTGAATGCTCAGCTTTCCAAATGACAGTCAGCTGCTCCCTGTGCTCACTCCCACTCTCCATCGAAGCTTGGAGCCTGCCTGCCATCCCAGGCTTTTGTCACCAAACATGGCAGCATCAGTCCCCACTGACGGCTGCCTCTGTGTCTCATGCTCACTTCCCTCCTCTACTGGTTTCCCTGCTCCCAGATCCTCCTGGCATCCAAGGTTTCTGGATTAAGTCTGGACATTGCTTGCTTGGCACCCTACCCAGGTTTGAAAGGGGTGTTGGGGCTCTGTAAAGGGGGGCCAGCCCTGAACAAGAAATTACATCAAGATCCATCTCCATCATCCTGAGGTCTGTAGAAAAATCAGTTGACCTGTCCTAGCCTCAACTTCTTCCCTGGTAAGGAAAGATTAGTTTCCATCCACCAACTTCAGATGGCTGAGAACATGTAAGCTTCCAAACAACATCAAGGAGTGTGGGGCTCCTTCTGCCCTTCATCCCCTCAACCTGCATTGAACAGTTTCTCAAAGAAAAGACTGTTGTTATGTTGTAACTGCTGTTATTATGTTCCAGTAATTTTCAGATCTCAGGCCAAGACATGAGTGTAAGGATTTGGGAAGGCTGGATTTCTGATAATTAAGCTTTTGCTAATTATCTACAATAATAGTGAAGTATCATTGTATGAGTGTCAGTCTCGTGCCAGGTACAATTCTGGGCACTTGTGTATTGTCTCACTGAATCCTTATATCCACAAGGAATTGCTAGTGGCATGTTCATTTTAAAGTATAGGAATTAAGGGACAAAGAGTATAAGCAACCAGTAAGTTTCAAAACCATGATTCAAACACATGCCATCTAGCTTTGGGGTCCACCTTCTTACAAATACACCAGGCTGCATTTATATTGAGTGGAACCATATTAAACTTCTGCTTTCTGTGTGTCAAAAATATTCAAACATCAGGAATTCCAGACAGCCCTGCCTAACACATAGTAGAAGAATTACATGATCTGGAATTCAAAGAATTGGGTTTTTGATTCCACAGAATATTGTAGTGCCTTGAAAAAGCCAGTCTCTACGCCTGGGATTTATCATCTATATTTTAGAAAGAATGAAAATCTTGGTACTGTTTTCCAGAGAGAGATAAAAAATACAAAAAAGACATAAAGCCATTTTGTAAACTCTAAAGCAGAAAATCAATTAACTATTGCCATTGGAGCTCTCACACACATCTCATAGAAATCCTCCCATAATTCCCAATTTGGTAGAGCCTGAAGGGCCTGGTTAAGTTAAGACTGTCAAACTGAATTCATAGAAGAATAAAACAAGCTCACTGGAAAAATCAGTGAGAAGAAAATAGCTCAAGCCAGAGTTTTCAAATCGCATCAATAGCAGAAACACGTAATTGCACAGCAGTTTTCATTTCTCATTTAGTTTTATAGTCAACACTTTCTAAGGTTTAAGGCAGAAAAGGACCTTTGGTGTTTGGATGACACAATCAAAGAGAAGGTAGAAGGATCCACAGTGTAACATTTTCTGCCTCAGAGTGTCATGAGTCCCCCGAGTTCCCCAACTGGGACACAGCATCTCAGAGTTCCTTGGAAAAGTTCTGAGCCTTTGAGCCACTGCAAGGCACACCAGTGAGGCCTTTCCCTCGGCACTGACATGGAAGGATTAGAGGGTGGCTAGCAGTCTGGTCCAGCCCACCTCACTCAATAAGAAGTCATGTGGTTTGGTTTAAAGAATTTATCTTGGCATGGTGCCCATTTGGCCTGGAGATGGGGACACAGGATCTCCACCGCCTACTGGGCCTTGTGGCAAATGGGTCAGATGGAGTTGGGTGTCTGCTCACCACCCCTCAGTGGACATCTGAGGCTGTTTAATCCTTGTCCTCTTTATGAAAGGGAAATGATAATCATCTGCTCAACGGTCTTTTTCCAAAGATGAAGTAGAATAACATGTAACATGCTTGACACTGTGTCTGGCACATAGAAAGCACTCAATAACTATTTCCTAGTATCACAGTTACTAATACACTATGTAAAGTTGTTTTCGGTAGAGGAGCAGACAAACTCCACTGCCTTTATTCTGCTCTAAGACTCCAATATTAGTTCAGGTAACACAGCACAATCAAAGCAATGTCCTGTGTGGTAGGGGAATTTCCAGATTTCCAGCCCCACCCCAACCCAACCAAAATGAAACACTCAGCACCCCAGTTTATCTGCTGTGGGAACATAGAGGGCCAAGGCTGGACAGCTGGCCTGGACTGGCTGTTGCGGAGCCAGTGCTGACACCAGCAGTCTTACCATTTCTTGTCTGCTTTCTCTATTTCCTTCTCTAAGATGGCACCACATCTCTGAACCAGCCCTTGGCTGATGACTCCAGCAGACTGCTGACAGTGCCTTGTTGCATTGCACTTCTCAAGCTACTCCACCCAGGGAGAAGGGTGGATACAAGGGTATGCAAGAAGAAGACAGGATCCTGGATGAGCCTTGAGAAGGTGAAAATTCCACGAAATAACTGATTTTTGCGTGTGAAAATGTTATATTGTACTAGTCTACTCATTTGTTTTAGTATAAAATTATGTCTCATTGCCCTCAAAATGTTGCTGCAAAAGTGATTCCTTTGGACATTTCATCATGTTTACGCCATGATCTTCCATTGGCTCTGGAACACTGCCTAGCACCTGCTAGAAGTACTGAGGTCT